AAAAAAAAATAAAGACAACAATTCTAAGAATCCCAATAGAATGAATTCACCAGGCAAGACAAGCAATGAAATAGAAAGGAAAGAAAGGGAATCAACCACTGAAAAAAATAGATAACAAGGACAAGTCAGTAATACCAGTTATAACCATCAATATGAATGGTCTCAATTCATTCATCAAAGGAAACAGATTAGTAGAATGGATCGAGAAATAAGATCCAACCATATGCTGCATAGAAGAAACACCTTTACCTCAAAAAGAAACTCAATGACTGAAAGTCAAAGGATGGAAAACAATACTCCATGCAATGAAAAACAGAAAAAGCAGGGGTAGCTATTCTATTTGCATACAAAGTGGATATCAAGCCAATACTGATCAGAGGAAATAAAGAAAGTCTCTGCATACTTATTAAGGGAACAATCCAAGAGGAAGAGATAACAATCATATATATGTACCAAATACTGGTGCATGTAACTATACAAAACAAACACTAATATTAAGAATCAGATACACACTAATACAATTGTAATATCCAATACTCCTCTGACACAGATAGATCAACTAGACAAAAAAAAATCAACAAAGCAATATCAGAGCCAAACCAAAGGTTTGAACAGATGGACTTAGTAGATATCTACAGAGCATTCCATCCAACAACAGAAAACACATTCTTGTCAGAGCACATGAGTCTTTGTCCAAAATAGCACACATACCAGCTCATAGCACATGCTTAAGTAAGTGCAAAGGAACTGAGATTCTCTCATGCATATTATCAGATCATAATGCAATGTAAATAAATGCACAATACATAATGTAAATAAATGGCAAAGGAAACCACAAAAATTACATATACACATGGAAATTAAATAACACCCTCCTGAACAACCAATGGGTCAGAGATGAAATTAAAGAAGAAATTAGACAGTTTCTACAATTAAATGATAGTATCAACACAACATAACAGAACTTAGGGGGTGCAATGAAAGCAGTCCTACAAGGGAAATTTACATTGGTGAATTCCCACATCAGAAAAATAGAGCAAGCTCAAACAAATAACCTAATGTTGAACCTCAAGCTTCTAGAAAAAGAAGAGCAAGTTAAACCCAGAACTTGTACAAGGAGGGAAATTATCAAGATCAGAGCAGAAATTAATGCAATGGAGACTATGAAAACAATAGAAAGACAAAAAATCCAAGAGTTGGTGCTTTGTAAAATGAAATAAAATAAGCCAACCATGGTAGTAATACCAGCACTTGGGAGGCTGAGGCAGGAGGACAGCCATGAGTTCAAGGCCAGCCTGGGCTACATAGTGAGACACTTTCTCAAAAAACTTCAAGAGAAATTAAATAAAATAGACAAACACCTAGTCAACCTGTCCAAAGAAGGAAAGAAAATACCCAAATTCATGCAATTAGTAATGAGAAGGATTAAATCACAACGGATCATGAAGAAGTCTAGAGGATCATCAGTACCTACTTTGACGTGTTTGTTTTTTGAGATAGGGTTTCACTATGTAGCTCATGCTGGCCTCAAACTTGCAGTAATTCTCATACCTCAGCCTCCCAAGTTCTGGGATTATAGGTGTATGCCACCACTCCCAGGCCTACTTTGAGAATCTGAATGGGAATTTCAGATGGAAAATTCAGAAGAAATAGACAGATACATATGAAGTACCAAAGCTGAATTAAGAATATATAAAAATTCTAAATAATCCAGTATCAGCCAGGCATGGTGGCACACGCCTGTAATCGCAGCACTCAGGAGGCTGAGACAGGAGGATTGTTGTGAGTCCGAGGCCAGCCTGGGCTACAAGGTGAGCTCAAGGCCAGCCTGAACTGCATATTGAGACCCTGTCTTAAAAAGACAAAACAAAAACAAAAACAAAAAAACAGTATCATTCAATGAATTTGAAAAAAATACTTTAAAAAACTATCAATAAAGAAAAGCCCAGTTTCTGATGGATTTACTTCTGTATTCTACAAGAACTCTAGAAAACATCTAATGCCACTAGTCTTCAAACTCTTCAATGAAATTGAAAAGGAAGCCACACTCCCCTAAAAATTCCTTGACACAAGCATTACTCTGACACCAAAACCAGAGAAGGATCCAACCAAAAGAGAGAACTACAGGCCAATATTCTTAATGAACATAAATACAAAACTTCTCAATAAGATACTGGCAAACAGAATGCAGCAAACCATCAAGAGGATTATACACCATGACCAAGTGGGATTCATCCCAGTAATGCAGGGATGGTTCAACATACATAAATCAATAAATGTAATATACCATATCAACAGAGCCAAGGACAAAAACCATGTGATCATCTCAATAGATGCAGAAAAAGCATTTGACAAAGTCTAACACCCATTGATGATTTAAAAAAAAACCTACAGAAAGTTGGAATAGAAGCTCATTATATCAATTTGATAAAAGCCATCTATGACAAACCAATAACTAAATGGACTAAAACTGAAAGCTTTCATTCTAAAATCAGGAATAAGACAAGGATGTCCATTGTCTCCATTTTTATTCAACATAGCCCTGGAAACGTTAGCCAGAGCTGGGGCTGGGAATTTAGCTCAGCGGCACAGTGCCTGCCTGGCAAGCACAAGGTCATCAGTTTGATTCTTGGTGCCGGAAAACAAACAAACAAAAAAAAATGTTAGCCAGAGCAATTAGACAAAAGAAAGAAATGAAAGGAATATGGATAGGAAAGGAGAAAGTTAAATTACCATTATGTGTGGATAACATGATACTCTATATAGATGGCCCAAGAAATTCCACTAAAAGACTCCTGGATTAATAAGCAGATTCAGTAGTGTAGCAGATGCAAAATCAACTCTAAAAATCTATAGCATTCTGCCAGGCATGGTGGCACACGCCTGTAATCCCAGCACTTGGGAGGCTGAGGCAGGAGGATCATTTCAAGTTTGACACCAGCCTGGGCTACAAAGTGAGCTCAAGGCTGGCCTGAACTGCATAGTGAGACCCTGTCTCAAAAAAAAAAAAAAAAATCCATAGCATTCCTATATGTGAATAACTGAAATAGAAGCTAGCGAAACAACACTTTTCACAATAGCATCAAAAGGCCAGGTTTGGTGGCACATGAATGTAATCTCAGCTCTCAGGAGGCTGAGGCAGGAGGATCATCACAAGTTTGTGGCCAGCCTGGACTACATAGTAAGTTCAAGGCCTGAACTACATAGTGAGATGCTATCTCAAAAAAACCAAACAACGCCCCCAAAACAATATATACAACAATATATACACTCCCAGGTTTATAGTGGCACAGTTTGTAATAGTTAAAGCTTGGAAACTGCCCAAATGCCCATTAACTTATGAATGCATAGAGATGTGCCTTTTGAATACAATGGAGTACTATTCTACCATAAAGAAGGATAAGCTTGAGACATTTCTAGCTAAATGGGTGCACCTTGAGACCATACTCTGAAGTGAAATAAATTGGACACACGTTTAAATACCATATTGTTACTCTGGTGTGAGAAACCAAAAGTGTAAATAAGGACCAATACATATAATAGATATTGGAAAATGGGAAGAAAATGTTCAGATGAGGAGAAGAAGGGAAGGAGGAGGGGAAAAGGAAAGAAGGGGCAAGAAAAAAGAGAATAGAAAGAAAAAAATGTAAACAAAGCTTTTGTAAATAAGGAGGGGAAGAGGAGTTGCAGGGAGGGAAGTGGAATGGGAAAAGATGTATCATACACAGGTAGAAATTCTCTATGCCGAATGTTATCATTATGCATAGCTAAAATGTACCAATAAAAATAACATATGCCTCAGGATGTGGATCTATTCACTCACAAAGTGGGAAAACACCTTTCCACTGAACTGTAAGGAAGCATACCCGGGCTTGTCATTCATGGCACCTTCCATCTGCATAAATGCTCAATTAATTGCCAATTAGTTTTCAAGTTCATTAGTGAATACTGAATCAGAAAAATAACAGCTGAATGATTCTGAGGGCAAGGATGAATTTTCTCTATCACGTAAGTGTGTACAATCTGATTCAGGTTCTCTCTGTCCTGGTTAGTGTGGTGTAAATGCTGTTCCATATTTTTGGTGTTTTTTTTTTTTTTTTTTTTTTTTTTTTGAGACAGGGTCTTGCTATAACCCAGCCTGGCCTTGAGCTAGCCATTCTTCTGCCTCCACTTCCCGAGTGCTGGGATTGCAGTGTGCCATCACACCAACCCTGCATATTCTTCATTCAGATATACAGTTGTATTAGTTTTATCTATCAGTCTCCCAATCACCCTGAACATCAAGATTGATCTTGGTCAACTGTTTTCATAATATCTTTTAAGGTGAAATAAAAATAACCAACAGCTATTTATTATGTGCTAAGTATCACATATATTATCTCATTTAATCGTCCCAATACTTTGAAGTAGGTACTATTATTTTTGTTTTAGAAATTGGGAATCTAGGACTGGGTGTGGTACTGCATGCTTGTAATCCCTCCATTATGGGAGGTTGAAGCAGGAGGTTCACAAATTCCAGCCCAGCCTGGGCATCCTAGTGAGATGCTGTCTCATAATTAAAAAATAAAGCCGGGCGTGGTGGTGCGCACCGTAATCCCAGCACTCGGGAGGCTGAGGCAGGAGGATCGTTGTGAGTTCGAGACCAGCCTGGGCTACAAAGTGAGCTCAAGGCCAGCCTGAACTGCATAGCGAGACCCTGTCTCAAAAAGAAAACAACAACAACAAAAAAAAAGTGGCAGGTGACATAGCTCAGTGAGAAGGCCTAGCTTCAGTCCTCAGTCCTCTGGACCCAATTGGGTATCTTGGTTATAGTGAATTATGTAACTTGCTCCAGGTCATTCAGCCAGTACGCAGCGGTAAAGAAAGCCAGTAAGACTTCAAAACTATCTCTTAACAACTGAGCTAAAGTTTTCCAACCTCCCGGGCTTATTCTTCATGTGTCTGCACCTATCCCAGAGAGTTACAAGGTTCGAATGAGATAAAATATGCCACAGTTTCACCACTTTGAAGCACGTATGATTTAAAAATATACAGTAAAAATGCAGCTTATTTGCATTAATTGGTAACAGCATGAATACATAACATACACACTTCACAACTACAGCCTGTGATACCAAATTTTTGCTGAAGTATAACACAGGCTGTGAAGTTCACAAAGCTAGGACATGCACGTAGTTTTTATCAAGGTAAAAATTACAACAATAAGAAGTAATCACTACCATAAGACAAAATTATCAGTCTTTCTTAGTCTCCCTTTGCAAATAATATGTGCTTTAGAATTAAAAACCTGGATTTGAATCTTGACACTTCCTGTGTGATTTCGGCAACCGTTTTGTGAAATCCCCAGGGATAAAAGCACCTTATAGGACTGCTGACTTAGAGGAGGTCGTACAATGTAAAACATCTCTACAGTGCCCAAATACAGCTGCCTGCAAAAACCGTATTATCGGGCAAATGTAACGCAGTCATCAACTCTCACTTCCTGCCGCCAACTTTCCCCGTGTTTGAAAGCAGCTCTCTCTCCCATTCCCTTCCTCCTCCTTTTTTGCCCCGCCCACTGCCGTAAATCGCAGGCCAGAGCTGTCGTAAAATCCTCCTCCCCGCCCTCCATGTGGAGGAAACCCGATCACGCTTGACGGCGCGGAGTGGCTGAGCCGCAAGATGGCGGCGCTGGCGGAGGAGCAGACGGAGGTGGCGGTCAAGCTGGAGCCCGAGGGACCGCCGGCGCTCCTACCTCCGCAGGCAGGCGACGGCACCGGCGAGGGAGGCGGCGGCACTCCCAACAACGGCCCCAGCGGTGG